GTTAGAAGAAATGGTTATTTCTTCTGTTCATCTCTGATGATATGTTCCACAGCTTTGGGTTTCGGCACCTCTGATGTCCACGTTGTAACTGATTTGAAAAATTTTCTTAAATCAGATTTACCTAAAGTAAAAGCCAATTGGATATCTTAAATGATTGTTGCTTTGTGCATTTCATTCTTTAAGATGCATCTACCTATCACATTTGTGAGATCACCTTTGACAAGGAAACAGAGCAAATATCACTAATAAGAGTATGTGTATATCACTGTGGACATATGTATAAATAAACATGTAAACATGGATCTATAAAACAATCATCAGACATCTTAGTCTGATGTAAATTGCAGGTCTCTGTTCTACTGAATAGTAGGATTATACATCTTCACTATAACCTGAAGAAATAACATGATAAATAATGTGCATCACAATAAAAGTGAAATATTATAGGGCTCCATCTATAAAATTGGAGGTGTTATCAGTCTTAAAACCATATCCCACTCCAGAATTTACCATCCTTGACACATATAACAGAAACTCTGCCACTGAAAACAGAAATTCACAGAATACAAAATACTATTAAAGGAAAAAATATAAACTATACCCATAATTTCTCCTAAATGCCAAGTGCTGCACTTCCTAAAACACTGCCTATTTTTATTTCTCTAAACAAATGTAAGGGCCTAAGTTCATGTAAACTGGCCCCACATATCACATGATGCTACCAGGGTTACAAGGCTCTGGTTAAAATAGAAAGATGCACCAGCTCCTGCTGATAAATTACTTCTCTAGAAAAGTTGGCAACTCTATTAAAACATGAGCTAAGTCAGGGGGTGGTGTATTAAAACAAACAGTTGATTTCTAACTGGTTAAGAAGACAGACCCCAGAGCCAGATTGCTGAGATCAAACCCTGGCTTCTTCATTCATTTCTTCATATGATGCTGATGCTGTATTTCCTTGTCTGAATTCATCACAGGATCTTTCTCATATGACCGCTGGAAAGAGTATGTGAATGAATATATGCAAAGCACTCTGATGGTGCTGGCCACAAGAAATGCATGTGCTGCTTATCACTGCTGCTTTCAGTAACTACTTTTTTTTTAAGGTTTATTTATTTATGTATACAAGAACTGGGGTACAGGCCAGAGGTGTGGGGGTGAGAGAATTCACCAGAGAGTGGGGGAGCACAACAGGCAGATGTACTGAAATACACTGCTGAGGGGAGCAGTGGCCAGGTTAGGAGAGGTCTGCCGTGCCATGTGAGTCAGCTCCCTGAGTCATGCTGCAGTGGCTGCACTTTAACCCATTGTGCCACCAGAGAGGGCCCTCAGTAACTAATTTTTAAGTGCAGACAGACACTGAGTCATTTGCCAGTGAGTGGTTGATTTACATGTATTATGAGAAAAAGAAAAAGAATGGCAATACTATGCTGACAATCACGCTCCCTTAGAACAGACGTTAGATTAAAAAAAAATGCTTATTTATTGCCAATAACACTTCATCAACATAAGAATGGCCATATAATAAGGTTTAAACAGACAAAATAAACTTATCTAAACCTGATGCCCTTCCAAGATTTAAAAAAACAATCTGGATGGATTTAGATTAAATAAGGGAGGTCTTTTCATTTTACCAACTTTTGCTAAGATGATCAGAGCACTTTACAAATATTCTAATTAACCTTTAACATATTAAAAGAAAAAGAGACAACCACTGTTTCCATTTTCTAAATATATGTTATTTAGAGCTATTTTGTAGGCTGAGGTTATAGAAGATTTAGAAAGTCAAAAGCCTTCAAACTGTCATTCAGTTTGCTTGTACTTTTCATATTTATGATAATTTTCCATGAGGTATTTTCCATTCTTGAAGCTTTATTAAAATGTGTGCCTAAAAGAATAGGACTATCGCTCCATCTTGTTCACTATTGGGAGACTTGGGTGAGAATCTGGATCAAGTTCACTTAGAATACTTCCTCTGTTCAACTTGACCCAAGCACTCTAGCTAGTGATAGTAGTCTCTGCTGAGAAAAAGCTCTCCCTCAGTGCTCCAAAGAAATTCTTGCCAGCTGATTTCCCCTCCAACAGCTCAAGGAGGTCAAACCAAGAATCTTCTCTTTCAAAAAGGAAGAGGAAGATGCCATTGGATTAAACCCATGACCTCAGCCGCACAGAGCAGTGCTATTAAAATGCTATTCAAATTCAAATATGGTGTAACAAATGTATTGACTCAGGGAACATTCTATTACCAAGCAGTTATGAGCCATGGAAAGAAATGGAGAGTAGAGTTTAAGAGGTTTGTGGTTCTTAGGGGAATGTGATGCCCCACAGTTCATGACAGTGACACATCTCCTTGGATGTAGAATATGTTGAGAGCTGTTGAGTTATAACATACTGCAAATGCAGTGAATCACATCTGGTACCTACACATTGATATGTTGTAAGATCATGATAGGTCTGCATGGATTGTAACATAGACAATTCTTCATTACAGATAATGAGAACTACCCCTGATAGAACTCAGTAAAGTCCTGTAAGGCTGGAGTTGAAATTTTTCACCTCCTTCCATGTCTTTCAATCCTGAATGCCCCCTAGGACTCCTCCACACTTTATCCATTTACCAGGGATGAGCTGACCATTATTTGTCTTCTACTCAACTTCCAGTGATCAAAGATCCAATTTTCTATTTATAATATTCTTTTTTAGTAATGTTCAAATAAAGTAAAAAACAGATGTTTATGAAATATTGCATATGAGCTGACTCCTGGTTTGTATTAACCTAAGATCCAATAGCAAACTATCTAAGGGACTAGCACAGGTCACAGATGTAATGGACATTGTCACAGATAGATCAAATAAAATTAAAATCACTCTCAGAAGAATTTTAGTAATATGGACTTCCACCTCCACTTCCCCCAAGTCAGCATGGTACAGTGGAAAGATCACTGAACTAGTTGCTGGGGGCCCTAGGGTCACTATTCGTTCTGACACCAACTAGCTTTGTGATTTCCATGGAGTCTAAAACCTTTTGTACCAAAATGTGTTCCTCTGTGAAAATGGCAGTTTGAATCGGCCAATTTCTAAAGTCTCTGATAACTTTGAAATTTCATACGTCTAAGAAAATTATTTTCCTTTAAGGTAGTTTCCTGATGGAGAAATAATTCTCCCAGCTGTGCATTTACTGCCAAAAGACAGACTGACCTCCCTGCACTTGTAAGGGTAGCTCTTTATTATAAATTCAGCGTGATCAGACTCTTAGAAGCTCAAATCACACAACAAATGTAGCGTTGACCCTGACCCTCGAAGCGTACCTTTGTCATGGAGACATGTGCTCCAATTTTCAGATATCTCTAGGGCTGCGGGGTAATTCCCAGGGGGCTAATCATGACAGAATGGCTTCCATAAAGTACCAGTATCTATAAGGTACTGTTTATTGAATTGTTCTTTGTCTCATAAGACCTTTCTCAAGGGGCTCTTCAAATGCCTAACAATCCAAAGGAAAGCCATCTGTCCTCCCCAATTCATAAAGTCTACAGCATTAACCTAGGTCTTAAATGGAGTTGAGAGTGAATAAGCCCCCGGGAACACTTGTACATGAATAGCCACACTAGAGTTGATGTCACAGGTCATGTGTTGTTTATGGCCCCAAAGCACGTTTCAAGCTTCTCGGCACTCCTGAGATGACATACCCTGTGCTTGCCAGGGAAGATCCCTAATGAGTGGGACACCCACCTGAGATTTGGAACTAGCTGGAAATTACCAGTCATCCCCCAAATGTCTTTCATCTTCAAAATAAATGGAGGGAAACTTTGGTGCAAATGAAGACAAATTCAGAAAAAATATTGAAACAATATGAAAATTATAAACTATAACCCAATCATAGATCGTTATTCAAAGTAATAGAAATTCATACCTGAGTAATATGAAAACTTAAGCAGTGTATTTTAACAAAGAAAGTAATATGAGATAGTGGAACGTATAAATGTACATGTAATATATATACATCACAGACATAGTGTATTGTTGTTGGATCTGTCAAAAAAATAAAAAAGGAGGAAAAATCATATAACACTTTAAAGTGAAATATTCATTATCTAAACTACAATGGCGATTAAAACTGAATAATTTCCAGAAAAGCACAATACAATATAAAGAATTTTCTGATCTAAATTTTAATTTCAAAAGAGCATTTTATTGTACGTACTCTAGAAAAGTACATCAGAATGAATAGCAGTTCTTTCCTAAATAAAGCAGAGCACATGCGATTTAGCTCAAAGCTGTCCCTCGCAAAGGAACGCTGGATCAGGTACTGAAACTCACACGCCAGCAAACGCTCTAACAGCGCCTGCTGACCCGCGTGGTGCAAGGAAATGGAGCTTATGCAGACACCTGGCATGAGTAAGTCAGCCTTAGGTCCCGGGGCCCTAACGACTTTTTTTTTTTTTTTTAAGAAAGATTATTTATGCTTACAGAACTGGGATACAGGCCAGAGGTGTGGTAGTCAGAGGATTCACCAGACACAGAGCGGGGAGCAGAACAGGCAGATCGACGAAGTACACTGCTGAGGGGAGCAGCAGGCGGGTCAGGAGAGGTCTGCTGCGCCATGTGGGTCACCTCTGGGCCGGAGATCCAACTGGTGCTGCAGTGGCTTTGGAGAGCTTCATAATGCGGTGCTTTAACCCATTGCACCAACAGAGAGAGCCCCCTAGCGACTTATTAAGTGGCTTCAGATCACAGGCAGTTGCTGTCACTCACACCAGCATTCTCTGTGCTGTCACCGAAACTAACTTCTGATGGAAGATGTTGACGTGGCGCCAACATCTTCCATCAGTCGGCAGAATCTTTTTCTCAGCAGCTGCCCCAGTGCTTCCCTGAGTGACTTGGGCTCTTCCCAGCAGCACGCTGAAGCCCTAGGCCGCCCGACCTGTTTCTTCCCTGAGATTCTGCACGCCTTAAGCGCCTGTTTTCTCAGCACTCTGCTGGTGGACGTGTTTCTTTCCCTGCAGAAATCGAAGATCTCTACCTATGAGAAGATGTGGGCATTCATGAGCAGCAGGCAGCAGACGGCCTTGGTGAAAAACAGTGATGAAGGCATCCAGCGGGCGCTCACCACAGACTACGCCTTGCTGATGGAGTCCACCAGCATTGAGTACGTGACGCAGCGCAACTGCAACCTCACTCAGATCGGGGGCCTCATTGACTCCAAAGGCTACGGAGTGGGAACGCCAATCGGTAAGAGGGGAAGGCAGCAGACCAAATTGAGATGCCCAAGGTCAGTTGCGAAGTCCAGAATGGAGTGGACTCAGGCTCTACTCCACATTCTGAGACGGGCTTCGCTGCCTTTGAGGACTGTTAAGTAAGGACTTAACCATCCAGATCTGAGGCATAGTCTGAATGGAAGATCATTCTGAGAGTTAACCTAAAAAAGCTTCCTTTAAAAATATCTATTTATTTTTGCGTAGAAGATCTGGAGTGTAGGCCAGAGATGGGGGTGGGCGGGTGCAGGGGGAAAGAGGAGTCACCAGAGACAGAGTGGGAAGCAGAACAGGCAGATCTACTGAAATCCACTGCTGAGGGGAAAAGCGGCTGACACCAGAGAGGTCTGCTGTGCCAGGTGGGTCAGCTCCCCGGCTGAGATGGAACTCACACCGCCAAGGCGGACCATTGCAAGGTGGCACTACTGAGACTTAACCCCTAGGTCACCCGGGAGGCCCTAATCCAATAAACTTTGAAATCACTTTTTCTTCAGCCTATCTGAGCGTAAATTTTATCATTTTATGCCAAACAAATATCTTTCAATATCTTCCTAATTCATCCTTTTCATATTATTTCCTACCTTGAGTTATATGAGAATGTCATAAAATTAATATGTAAAGGTGGTATAAATGAAAGGCCTGGTGCCCCATGTTAACAGATGCAAAACTATATGGATCCAAAGATAAGGGAAAGGATTAAATTATAATTTGCCCCAGGAATGTGTTAGATTCAATTCACAGTAACTAAAACCTCCAAATAGTCCTAGGAATAGTACTGCCTGAGAGGTAAGCTGCAAAGTCTACTTCAGATCTAGAATAGTGAACTATACCTGATTGAATACCATATATATATATATATATATATATATATATCCAAAAGAGTAGCCTTATTATAAAAGGGGGGAGAAAAATAAAGAACACTTGCATAGATACAAAAGGGCAGAAAGGAACAGGTTTGCATAGTCACCGGCAGGCAGGGACCTGTGGCCCCTCGCCCGGATGGACTTTCTATCGAAAGCTTCCTCTGCACTACGCCCTCTGCATAGAAAGCTGTATCATATAAGGTTCTGTATGGTGGTAATCTTTTCTTCTGGATGTGTTATTGGTAATTTCCTGAGAAGCATCCCGAAGGAGAGGCATCAAGCCCATCTTCGACCCATAGGCTAGTCCAATAGGCAGAAAATTAGTTACAGTCAATACTAATCTGATTAATAAAATATAGGGAAACTCTCTTCACTTTTGCATGAACACACAACTAGGCTAATTCTCTGCTTTGGATCTGGTGTTAGAAATCAATACTATGGAGAAACATACTCTATTAAATATTGTACTGTTGCAGTGATCATGTATGCCCTGTAAATAAATTTTCTGCAGAACACTTGGACTGGGGAATCCCATAACTACCTTCTTGCTTCTTTATTTCCAGTAATATTTCCTGGTGAAAATATCAATAATGCCAGTGGACTGTATGTGTTTTCCGAGTACCCAGCTCTCTGATAATTAAGTCCACATGTTCTGCGCTGGCTCAATTACTGAAAGGATACTATGCCTTTCTCTTTTCATTCCTAAAACAGTGTCCTATCTCCCTCGCAGAGATTTGAACCTCCTTTAGATAGCAGGGTAAGGAAATCTAGACAGATGCGATTATTCTATAGCTCTTCAATGCTGCAGTTAGTTTTTCGAGCCATAAGTCAGACCAGAAAACAAGGGGTCGTACCCTTGCTTGAATCTTTTCAAAATCAAGATCTTAAGGTAAATCCCACTTATTCTGCATCTCCTTAGAGGAGCAACTATAGCTTCTTAGGAGAGCCCCTTTAGAGGTTCTACATTCTAATGTATAATGTATATGATAATGGATATTATAATATATGGTTCTAATGTAGAACACCGCCTCTTGTATCATTCTAACAGCCACCCCATCCCGACCACCTATGAATAGCCCTTCTTCCTGACAAATCTCCTAAAGGAAATAGGAAACAGCAATGTGTACCCTCCTTCTGAGAATCTTTGCCCTTTAATGTGACACTTCTAATGGCATTTCTGCTACTGAATGGAAGGGAACTCCGAAGTCACGATTCTAGGGCAGTGAGGAGGAAGCCAGGGTTCCTTGCCACAGTCCATCTGCAGGGACACAGTACTTTGAAGAGTTCTCTGCTTCCATGTGGCTGGGTCTGATCCCATGGTATCACTGGATTTTATATGCCATGATGGAGAGAGATTTGACTGTACTAATTAAATCTACTTTTAGCCAACCTCACTCCATACACTGCCACACAAGTTCCAAAGTTGAAGAGCCTTTTCCCCTTCTCAGATGAAAAGAAATACACTCCAGGAATTTTTCATAGTGGTTATAAACCTGTCATGCTTTTAAACCCAAAACAATGAAGGAATAATTGGAACAGATGGCAGACCTCAGAGAGAATGCATCCATTGGGAATACAGCTGTTGGATAAATTTGTGAGATATTTCTTCTATGATGAACTGACTCTTTAAGAAAGATCAGTTGCTATTCAGAAAGATCTGTGTATATACATATATAGATTTATTTAGGTGACTTTAAGAAACCATTTCTGGTGTCATTCAGTCCACGTAAGCAACAACAACAAACACTGAGGTCGAAATATATTCAGATATTAAAAATTCTCTGCACACTGGTCTGGTCCTAACTGACTCCCCAAAGGCCCCAAGCAATTTCCCATGGTCAAAGACTAGCAAATTCAACTCAGTCACAACACAAACTGAAGACCTGGCCGCTTAGAGACTCCAAGGACTCAGGAAAAGGCCTCCTGGGGGATTTAAAATAAAACTTGAAGAGAACAAGAGCAGTTAAGGCTTAAACAGGTTACCAGGAAGCAGGAAATTACCTTCCTGCGAGACTAGCTTTAACAGAGATCCGATGCCCATCTGTCTGAAATGGCTTAGGCAGTGAGCAGCCTGCAGGCAGCCGATAGCATCAGTCAGCATTCATTGAGTGCCACTGTGGAAGCTGCTAGAATGACTGCTGAGGCCACTGCCCAAAGAACCTTGTCACCCCCTCCCATGCACTTCTGTATGCATCAAAGCCAAGCTTTCCTGGTTCCGGCATCACCGGTGCACTATGGGTCTGTCCATGTTGCTAAGTTTGGCTCTAACTATTCTCTAAGGGTGTGTAAGCCAACCGGCCAATAGCTCCTAATTTGGCTTTCGAGAGCAATTTTCCACTAAAAATTCATACTCTTCATTGACAAGCCGCACTCTAACTCCAAAGCATTTTATGCTTCCCTTACACTTGATTTTGTACTGACAGGATTTTTTTAAAGATTTTATTAATGTTTACAGAGCTGGGGTACAGGTCAGAGGTACAGGGGTGGTGAGAGGATTCACCAGAGACAGAGTGGGGAGCAGAACAGGCAGATGTACTAAAATACACTGCTGAGGGGAGCAGCAGGCAGGTCAGGAGAGGTCTGCTGTGCCATGTGGGTCACCTCCCTGGCAGGGAACCAAACTCACGCAAAAGTGGCTGCAATGAGCTTCACAGCACTGTGGTTTAACCAGTTGTGCCACCAGGGAGGGCCCATGACAAGAATTTTAGGAAGTCTTGAGGGGGAAGAAATTTAAAATCTGCCAAAATCTGTTTTCTAACTTAAACTATGTCATGGACATAAGTAAGGTTGGGGATAGAGGAGCAGGGAAAAGGGGGAGAAGCTTTCGAGGAAACACCACTAGGAGAGGAGAGAATTGCTTTAAATACTTGGCTATGCCAGCAACTACTACTTTCACATTCTACATCTCTTCAATTCTAAAATGAACTAGTGAACTAAAAGACATGATTTCCAAAATCTCTCATGATCCTAAGATACCACATTTTTTTTTATTTACTATTTATTTTGCATTTCACCAAAAAGAACTTGAAAGTTTGCAAAGAAATAGCTAGGGTGTACTGATTCTTACTGAGCGCAACAAAAACTCCCAGTGTCTAAGGAGAAATTGAGTAAAAGAATCTTCCATTCTACTGATCTTGACCTTTGCCCCAATTTAAGTGGGAGCCCAGAAGTGAGCAAGCTACCTCCACAAGCAGATGACACTGATATCTATTCCCAACATAATGAAAAGCTTAATTGCATTGCTAGAAAACTGAGTCTAAATCACACACATAAAAGTCTACAAATTTTCCAAACCTAACTGAATTTTGTAGAACCTTTGAATTATTCAAAACTCATTATTAGTCATTTCTTAGTAGGTGTGTGAGTCAGTATGGATTAATTACTATAATCAAATTCTGTAAACATTCAATGGCTTACACAGAAAATGTTTATTTCCTGTTCTTGTCATCGTCCAATGTGGATTAACAGAGAAATTCTGTCTCCCGTCACCATCCTAAGACCCTAGCGCCTTCTAATTGGTTGTGCCACTATCCGTTGTGACTTGAATGATTTTCTTCTTGCTGAATAATTAAGGAAAGTGGAGAATGGGGAGAAAACCACACTGAGAGGGCTTAAGAGACAGGATAGGAAATATGTATATCTCTCCTTAGCTTACGGAGACTAGAAGTAAGTCACATCACCACACTTACGTGTAAGGAAGATGGACACATCCACATTTATGCTGGTAGGAAGAAGAAATGGCAGTCCTCATCATATATTCAGGCCATCATAACATCAGACAACAGAAAACATAGGAAAGTGAGTCTAAACAAGGAAGTCCCCACATAAAAACTCACTGGAAGCAGGGCTGTGTTTAAGAATGCCTAGTTCATGGCATTTCCTTGTTTTAAAGGAAGTCATCTCAACATGCCAGCCTTCCCCTTTCCAACTATTTAGAGCCTTCAAACTATCAGATGTGACTTTCATGACTTTCCCAGTCAATTTGTGGATTGGGGTTTCCCAAAAGCCATAAAGCTGCTACCTCTAAGACAAGAATCCTCCTTGACATGTCTTCAGGCTGTCTGTGACCAATATCCAAATGACCTTATCTGCAGGCTCTCCTTACCGGGATAAAATCACCATTGCTATTCTTCAATTACAAGAAGAGGGGAAGTTGCATATGATGAAGGAGAAGTGGTGGCGAGGAAATGGCTGCCCGGAGGAAGAGAGCAAAGAGGCCAGTGCCCTGGGAGTAGAAAATATCGGAGGCATCTTCATTGTTCTGGCGGCAGGACTGGTCCTCTCTGTATTTGTAGCCATTGGCGAATTTATATACAAATCACGGAAGAACAATGATACTGAACAGGTGAGTCACCTCTTTATGGGACAGGGTAGTTTTTCCTGTGTGTTTATCAGTCTTAAGTGTGGGGTTTTCAGAATGTTCACCCTTTTTGAAATTGTCTATTGAATTAGATGCCCAGAAAGACCATTTTTGAGTTAGAGCAAAGATGTATTGAATCCCTGCCAGGTGCCGCCGGCAATGTAGCGCCATCATTTATTAATGAGAAGAGGGAAGCGCCTGATACACTAAATCCAATTAGTGCTATTTGGGATGACAGTGCAGAAATTCCATACTCAGTTAATTTCTTGAACAGCTATTTGCTCTTAAGATAGAAACCCTCGATGGAGCAAGGAAGAGCTAATTCCAAAATTGGAAGAAATATAAAAAGCTTTTGAGAGAAATGCTACTCATCGCTTACGTGTGGATACTGAGCCCATGTTCTAATACAAAGCTGATTTATTTAAATAAAGTAACTCAAAGCTGAGCATTTTCCTTTATGAAACTATCACTTGTTAGTTTCACCAAATTTTTTCATGGATATGCTAAATGATACAAAATAATACTAAACTCCAGGCCATGATAATGCATTAGGTTACCCATTCAATTTAAATATGGTGGTAGAATTTGGAGACTATGAACTCTTAATAACAGGGCAATTTAATGCTCAGTGTCACTGTCTTAAAATTCTTAATATTTGAACAAATGAATATTCCATATTTTCATTCTGCACTGGGCCCTACAAATCCTATAGCCAGTTCTGATGAATAATCTCGTAACAGTTCTAAGTCTTTGAAGAGAAAAACCTTCCTTGAGCTCCCAAAGGTGGGAATGAGTTATTATAATCTGATTTCATGGTGAAAATTTTCCCAAAATTACCCGAATTGTGAGAACATTAAGCACCCCTTTCCTGGACCTTGGTAGAAAAAATTGTCTTTAACTGAGAGGGAGAATGGACTGATCTGCTTTGTTTTAACTTTCAATGTGCTCTTGCCATGTCTTGTTTTATGCAACTAATTGGACAAATAAAAGCTTATATATGTTATGCTTTCATGTGCTTCTCATAATTGCCAGCTTCATTTTATTTAAATTTTCATTTAAACATTCATTTTTGCCTCTGATTTTTTCATCTTCTATATGTTTTTTTCTCATTTTGGTATGCAAGCCTTTTTGTTTCTTTTAAGGATTGCAATGTAAGCAAGCCCATCCAACCAACTCCACTTCAGGAACCACTTTATCTACAGATTTAGAATGTGGCAGATTAATTCAAGAGAAGTGAGGGATTCGGACACAGTCCTCAATTCATACTGTGTAACCAGTATTTTCCCCCCTTGTGTCCACTATAATTGTTATTGTTAATTGATGTCATCAATGATATCTGTATCCTCAAAGCATAAATAACCATTAGTACCTACCCTTTTTTAAGATAGCAAGACCCATGGATTCTAGATACTGAATTCAATGTACTAGAAACAGATGGGTGTTCTGTGTTGAAACAGAGGAATGTGGGCTAAGACTCCAAATCTGTGTACTTACAAGCATCTGCTACATCATCAAAGGAGAGTTGTCTTAGTTCTTTCTTTAAGCATTAAAAACAAGCAACTCTTTCCTCATAGAAAAAGTAGCTTCAGCCTTTTAACATTGCAAACCAGAAATCCTTGATTTTTTTTTTAAGATTTATTTATTTATGCATACAGAACTGGGGTATAGGCCAGAAGTTCAGGGGTGGTGAGAGGTTTCACCAGAGACAGAGTGAACAGGCAGATCGATGAAGTTCACTGCTGAGGGGAGGTCTGCCACACCCTGTGGTCACCTCCAGGGCAGGCAGGGATCGAACTCAGGATGAAGTGGCTTTAGCTTCTTAGTGCAGTGCTTTAACCCGCTGCGCCACCAGGGAGGGCCCCAGAAATCCTTGATATTAGCGATTCAGGAAGATGGTCCAAAAAATGAAAATGAATCTTGACACTCAGTACCAAGGTGAACTTACCTGTGTATCACTCAAGAAGGCACAACACAGTCAAGAACCATCCTGGGGTAGAAATTTATGAGCATCAAGCTCTCAAGTCACATTTGCCGGTAGAGATAAACAACCTTCCATTGATCCGGGCAGATGGAACAATAGACACCCAAGAACTGTGTTTCTTTTCAGGCTGTATAGTATTCCTGCAAGCGCTAAGCCAAGCCCAAAGCTAGAAACTTGCACAGAACATCTTCCTTTTTCCACTCACTCACTCTCACTCTTGTTGATGAACATCCTTTCGAGATGTTGCTTCATCCTCTTCCCACTCACCCAGGACAGAGTGGTTGTTCTTGTATGAGCCTCATCTATGCACGCCTACGTTCGCACTCACTTCTCTGAATTTGTGGCCATTAGTAAATCTTTCCGAAGATATTCAGGAGATGGCAAATATGAGAAGATAAACAGAGGGCACACACATCAGTTACAGATCTCTGTAGATTTACTGCCCCTGCATTCACAGTGCTGCAAATAATCCCCGCTCTATTCAGTCTGACGACCAGAGAGCCAACTGCACACTTAATTTCTCATGACAGAGGATGTCCGCTGGCCCTTTGGGTGTTTGCTCTTCACAGTGAGTAGGAGAATTGAAGAGGCCTTTCATCTTCCTCCATACGGGATCAGTTGGTCTTTGTTCTTCTTAATGGGATTGCCATTTGACATATGAAGTGATCCCCCAAACACATTTCTCAGAAGTAGAGATAGCCATCTCTTAGTTATATTTTGATTTCTCTTTGCTTAGCTTTCACTAGGTTCCATCTTTTGAATCATAAATTTCTCCAATCAAGCCTATATTTTTCGGGTAACGCATATTTAGGAAATTTGACTCATGCCCTGGTTGTTTCTTAGTCTTCCCGTCTTTAAATAAATGTATTTTTGAGAAAGTATATAAAAATAAGACTAATATTTATTTTCTATTATTGACATGAAAGGTCAGAGTTCAGATTTTCATGAGCAAAAGAACCAAGTATTTGCAGGAATGTTATGTTATTTTTTATTTCATAATTCATTGATTATATAGAAGTCACAAACTGTATTTTCCTATAGAGTATTACATTGCATAATATTGTATTATATTCCCAACGACTATTTATTAAGCCAAAAATGGTACCAAAAAAAGCTCAAGGGTGATTGATAAAGTGTAGGGTTAACAACAAAAATTGCTATTTTTATTTTTTTATATATTTTTAAGATTTATTTATTTATGCATACTGAAGTGGAGTGCAGGCCAGAGGTGCAAGAGCAGTGAGATGATTCATCAGAGACAGAGTGGGGAGCAGAACAGGCAGACTGAGGAAGTACACTAATTTCTCATGAGGGAAGCAGTGGGCAGGTCAGGAGAGGTCTGCCACCATGTGAGTCACCTCTGGGCTGGGGACTAAACTCGCACTGAAGTGGCTGCAGCTAGCTTGCAGTGCTGCTCTTTCACTGGTTACACCACCAGGGAGGGCCAAAAATTGATGTTTTTAAGAGGTGATCCTTTAAAAGTGAAATTCAAAGATTTATATAAAGAAACGATTGCTTCCAAAAATTAATTTTACTACTTTAAACTGTATACAGCCTATTTTCCTGATACTTATATACTATTTTATGGTTTTGACATGCAGCATCATTTTTGGTCCTTTAAACAATTCTATCTCCATGTTATTAATTGAGAAGTAGATGTCAAAGTCAACCACCTAGAGTCCTAGACTTCTGCATTAAAAGGGAATTTTCTAAATAAGCCAAAGTTAGGTTCAAGCTCAAGTACAGCCCTATACTAAATGACTTTGGTAAGTTACTGGGATTTGTCAGAGCCTTGGTTTCCTACTATGTAACACTGGGATATAACATCTATGTCATAAAGCTGTTTTGAAGAGCATCTTTTATGTAACTCCTGAGTCACTGACATCTTAAACTCTCCTGCAACACAGCCTACTGTGTTATCATGCATTGAAGATTTTCATCAAGGTGGGAAAACATCCACTATTTCCCCAACTTCTTAGATCACAGAGCTTTTATTCTATAAAACACCTCGACAGACCAGACCACTGCCCTATAGATCATCCTCCAGGTAATGCTGCTGCAATACTGTGTAACTTATCCAGTGATAATATTATAACAAAACATCTTGTGTCCTGGCTGGCACATAGTTGCGATTCATGATCAATGCTATTTCTTATTTGCAGTCACTTTTAAACTTCTCTGAACCCCAATTTCTCTTTTGTAAGTGAAGCTAATAGATTGACTTTATAAGTGATGAGAATTACATGAAATTAGATAAGGGGATAAAAATGTAAATCAGCTCTAAAACTTGTGCTTAACACACACACACACACACACACACACACAGCTCTCTCTGGTGGTGCAATGGGTTAAAGCACCCCATTATGAAGCTCTCTGAAGCCACTGCAGCATGAGTTCGATCCCCAGCCAGGAAGCTGACCCACATGGAGTGGCAGGCCTCTTCTGACCCACCTGCTGCTCCCCTCAGCAGTGTACTTTGTCAATCTGCCTGTTCTGGTCCCCACTCTGTCTCTGGTAAATCCTCTCACCCACCACACCTCTGGCCTGTACCCCAGTTCTGTAAGCATAAGTAAATAAATCTTAAAAAAAAAACAAAAACAGAGGCTAGTTCACAGAGGAAATATTGCTCTTGGGTTACATGATCAATAAGTACAACTTAGCAGACTTCTTCAGGGAGAATGGTTTGGAACACTGGTCTCCTGACTTATTGACTCTTGACTGGCTCAAACTGTCTCTCAGACCACTTTCCTTCACACTAGTGGTGTCAACAGCAAAGAGTCAACAGCAGTGGCACCACACCCAGTAGAAGGACCAAATTGGGAATACGTGAGGAGGTACCGTGGCAGTCATGAACCTCATCTCTAGAAATTCTGACTGAATTAGCTTTGATGGGGCAGAACAAAGGCATCTGTTTAGAATACTCAGTTGACACTAGTCTCTCAGTCGCACTCTAGAGCTTCAATTTATGTGTTCACTTGCACTCAGTAAATGTTGCTGTTTACTA